ACACAAAAAGTGAGAAATAATTGCATAAAATGCAGCAAAACGTTCAAATCGAAACATCTACAAAAACATAAAAAATCTAAGCGTACTAGTGCTCTATATCATTGTTTTATATGTGACAAAACTTTAGCGCGTAAATTTTGTTTGAAAAGACATATGAAATCCGTGCATAAAGAAATTAGTTGGAACTCTATACCAATTGATCAATTGTAAATTTGTAATAATTAATAACATAATTTTGTATTGATAACTGTACAGTTAATCGTTTATTAATTCAATTTTATATGCAAATTAAATATTTTATTATAAATTAATAAAGAGTTAGAACAAAAAATGCGTAACAATTCTACTATTAAGTATTCAAGTTTAGATTTAGATCACATCAAGTTCAGTTACTCATATAGTTAAACTTGCAATGAGTTTATTTGATTCTACAAATGAAAATATAAGGCAAGTTATAATAAATTTAAAGCTTGGAAGATTAATTAATACAGCAATAGCGAAAACCAATTAAATGAATTCGAACACGAAGCCAATTAACGAATTAACGATCGTCATTAGTAAGTAAATAAAGTAAAACAATAACTGATATATATAATTTTATTTGCGCGAAATCATAAGTTTTTCTTTTAATTTTATTTCTCCAGTATTTAACTTAATTACTGTTAATTTGAAGATTTCTTGGAAATAATATATATTTTAAATTTTATTTCATTTGTGTGTTGATAAGTTATAAAATAAATAATTTCTTTTATTTCTTGGATTTTTTGTAAAAGTGAAAGAGGTAACAATAATTATTTTATTGATTATAAATCATATATAAGATTAAAAAATTGTTTATATATCTAACATGAATTTCTTCTTCTAGGTTTAATATTAAAACACAGTTGACGTTATTCATGGCGTTATCAAATAAGGATCAAATATGGTATTGGCGAAGACTAAGAGGTTTAATGTTTTTTTATGGTCTCAATATATGTAAAAATTAGTGAATATTGTATAAGTACATTCAACTGAATGGAAATTACTTTATTGTTATATAAAACAAAATGAAATAAAAATAAATTGTATGTATAAATAAAAATGCTTATAACTTTATATTATTCAATACACAAAAACAATTTTATTTATAAAAACTTTTTCAGTATTTAAGTTTTCAAAATAAATGCATGCACAAGAAACATATATCAGAATTCTTTATCAAATCTTTTTTAATAATATAAAATATTAGTATTTAATATTAAAAATTTAAGTTCCGCATTTCTTTGCGTATGTAAATCTAATATAAATCTCTACAATTAAATAAAGTATTGTTTGTTAGTTCAGTGAAGAAAATGAAATTACTCTAAAATGAAAATGAATATATTATGAGATGAATATAAAAATAGAGACTAAAACATGTATGTTTTATTACAAATTACAAAATTGAAAAGAAGCAATTTGAGAGATTTATATAGTTTATAATATAATAAAATCACTCAGAACAAATAAAAAAATAAATTAATTTAATGATGAAATTTCTTATTTCAATTTATACAAAAAAAAAAAATAAAAAAATTCAACGATTTCTACAGTTTAAAATAGAAAAAAATAACTCCTAATATATCCCACAATTATACACTATGTACATTAAGACTGAAAAGTTTTCGGAAATTCTCATTTAAAATTCGCGCGCTGTATATTTTTCGATATTTTAAGTTTATGTAGTTTGGCAGCACTGTCCTTAATTTCTATGCCAAAAATGAGCGCGATCTGTCAGACAGTTCGTTTACGGCAGCTGTTGAAACCAGTTCACCTCAGTAGTGCGTTGCGAAATGTCTTCGACGGTCGTACGACCGTCCTGAAAGGCTTTGTACCACTCATAAACTTGAGTTTTCGATAAAACTGATTCCCCATAAGCCTTTTGTAGCATTCGCAACGATTCTGCACACGAAATTTCGTTCGAAACAAAATTTGATGCAAACTCTTTGTTCAATATTTTTTTCCATTGTTTTTTTCGCAACGCACTACTGAGGTGAACTGGTTTCAACAGCTGCCGTAAACGAACTGTCTGACAGATCGCGCTCATTTTTGGCATAGTAATTAACGAAAGTGCTGCCAAACTACATAAACTTAAAATATCGAAAATATACAGCGCGCGAATTTTAAATGAGAATTTCCGAAA